CAGGGGTATAAAGCTGTAAATCCTATAAAATTTTACAGCTGTAGTTCGATTAATACTTGAGTTATTGAGTGAAAACTGTTTCCAGTTTAAAGGTGATAGTAATCCCTTGATCTTTGACCTTGTGACCCCAAAATCAATAGCGGTCTTCTACCCAATATGAACAATCATCCTATGAAGTTTGAATACTGTGGGTCAAATGGAACTTAAGTTATGCTTCAGAAACCATTTTACGTATTTAGCTAATAGTGACCTTGACCTTTAACCTTGTGAACCCAAAATCATTAGGTTTTTTTTACCCAATATGGACAATCACCCTATGAAGTTTGAATACTGTAGGCCAAATGGAACTTAAGTTATGCTCCGGAAACAATTTTCAGTATTTAGCTAATAGTGACCTTGACCTTTAACCTTGTGACCCCAAAATCAATAGGGGTCTTCTACCCAATATGGGCAATCATCCTATGAAGTTTGAATACTGTGGGCCAAATGGAACTTAAGTTATGCTCCGGAAACCATTTTCAGTATTAAGCTAATAGTGACCTTGACCTTTGACCTTGTGACCCCAAAATCAATAGGGGTCTTTTACTTAATATATGCAATCACCCTATGAAGTTTGAATACTGTGGGTCAAATGGAACTTAAGTTATGCTCCGGAAACCATTTTCAGTATTAAGCTAATAGTGACCTTGACCTTTGACCTTGTGACCCCAAAATCAATAGGGGTCTTCTACCCAATATGGACAATCATCCTATGAAGTTTGAATACTGTGGGTCAAATGGAACTTAAGTTATGCTCCGGAAACCATTTTCAGTATTTAGCTAATAGTGACCTTGACCTTTGACCTTGTGACCCCAAAATCAATAGGGGTCTTCTACCCAATATGGGCAATCATCCTATGAAGTTTGAATACTGTGGGCCAAATGGAACTTAAGTTATGCTCCGGAAACCATTTTCAGTATTTAGCTAATAGTGACCTTGACCTTTGACCTTGTGACCCCAAAATCAATAGGGGTCTTCTACCCAATATGGGCAATCATCCTATGAAGTTTGAATACTGTGGGCCAAATGGAACTTAAGTTATGCTCCGGAAACCAAATTGCTAACAGACGGACGGACGGACAGACGGACGCCAGGGGGTATAACATAATATGCCCGAAATTCTTTCGGGCATATAAAAAGGGAAACAACTCCAAAAATACAGCATCCAGAATTATGCCTCTAACAACTGCACCTAATGTCATGATAACCAAGTGTTCTAATTTCAAGTTGATGATGTATTAAATATTTGAATGTTTGCCTACATTAAAGTTTATGCATAATGATGACAATGATTTTTTTTTTTAAAACAGACATGCAAACAAACCATTATAGAGTCATATACAAATTATATCATATATATCATAAACCATAGTGATTAGAATATGCTAGTAATAGTACTTCATGCCCATATAACAATTTAACCTGCATAAAACTTAAGTATTCAGCTATTGCCACCAGTATAGTGCCAGGCCAGCCTACACATGCATGCAGACTTACCAGGCTTTACACTGTCAACTGTCAAGAAACTTTCAATTCCCATCCTGATATCCCCAAAACAGTACTATCTGACAGTCCCAAAAAATTAACTGGGCAAGTCCATTAAAGAAATTCAGCAGGTAAAGGGGGGGGGGGTTAATACAAATTTTATAAAATGTATACAAAATAGTGATCAGTTTGAAACAATATGTTTGTACCTTACAAATGTTTAACATTGATAGTTAATTGATAACTGAATATAACTAGATAAAAGCACTTTTATTTGTAAAACACAACAAGAGCATCCCGTATAGTGAAAACATTCATCTTCAAAGCCTTAACATGTATAACCGCAGCAACCATCAATTACGAATTTTTGTTAATATTCAAAGATGAAAAGGGGCAGAACTCCTTAAAGTATTCCTTTAGGATAATGCATCTTGTCTTACAACCGTGCATTGTCATGATTACTAAGTGTTCAATTTTAGTTGATAACTTTGACAAATTGAATATTAAAATCATTCTACATATAAAGTAATTTTGACCAAAAAGAAAAAAAATCTTGAAAAGGGGCATAATTCTTAAACATATTGCTTTCAGAATAATGCCTTTTGTTTTATTACTGTGCCCTGTATTAAGTTTTTGAAGTTTCATGCTCATGGCTTTGATATTTTTTAATTTTTAAAAAAATTACTTGAAAGGGGCATTACTCCTAAAAAAAAAAACTAAAAAAAAACTGCCTTATAATGATTAAAGTGTTTCAAGTTTTCTGTTTATACCTTTAAATGTGTCTGATTAATGGGATTAGGTACAGTTCTTGCACAACAAATAACTTAGACATCAATGGCCATGAAAACAACCAATCAATCAAAATAGCTCGACTTTTTCTTTGAAATGAAACAAGCTAGAAAAATCAAAGTGATTAGCTCATCCACTTACTTAGACAAATTATACACTTATGTCAGAATTATCATTACAACAATAATGTACCAAACTATGTAACATCATATAATTAAACTTATTTTAATCATTATTAAGCCATAAAGACATAGTTTAACTCTTAGTCTGAGCTACAGACTACCAATTCCACCCATGCAACCAGCGCAGACCAATAATAGCGGGCTTAAATGGTTACAACTGATCATGGTCTGCACTACTTGCTACTCAAGTCATCACATGTTTTGAAAATGTGCCATAAAAAAATAAATGGTTTTGTAAAGAATGAAGTTAAAGATTAACAAGTCTATTAACATCTTTAGCATGGTTATGGTCAACTGTACATAAAAAATTAAGCTGCATTAGTGATTGGTCTGTTAAAATACCGGGGTAACTAAAATGCCAGCTGATCTTGGACTGCACTGGCTGCACTGGGTTCCATTCTGTAGATGCCGACAGGCTCGGAAGGTTTAAACTGCTTCTTCATGGTTAGTATAGACTTAAATCCACTCAGCTAGATAGAGTTACGGTTGTATGAATATGGTTGTAAAGAAAGTTTCCACTCATAACATCAATTGGTCAGTTTAAACCGTCTTTGTTGAAAACATCCCCATTCCCAGCCATGTTAAGACCTGAAATTGAAATCTTAATATTGAAGCTTGATTTTACTCATGATTCATTTATACAGAATATATATTTTTAAATGATATATCACATCATAAAATATATGCACATGATTGTATTCACATGACTTCCATGCAAAATACTTATTCACTATCATTATACCAATGGCCAACAAAGCAAAACATGCAAAAGGAGTAAAGATAGTTCATGTATAGCAAATAAGTATTCGAAACTGTTACAAGATACTTAAAAATAAAAAGTTTTTGAGAAAATAAAAAAGATAGCATTTCTGAGGCATAATTGGCCTTTAAATGAATGCAAATATTTTATGTGATGCAACAATCAATCACTTCAATTTTGTAACAGCAAATAAAATCTTTGTATTCAGAAAAGTTTTTGGAGACCATTTTACCTTTATGAAACTAAATAATGAGGAAGTAACTGTTGGTCGCACCAACACTGTTATGGTAACTGTTCCAACTTTAAGGTCAAGACCCTTCCCTGCATTATTTCTGGCTCAGACGAGCACCTGAGTAGAACAACTGACATTACATCAGGTAAGCTGAATAGCTTTCTCACAATATGAAAGAATCCAGAGGGCCTGGCTGGATTTGAAACCCCAGCAGTGACTGCTAATATTTGCATACAGACCAGGATCATGCTAAATCAGCAGATTTTTCAGAGTACACTCACTCTGAACAAGCTGTCAACACAGATTACCTAAAAACGAAATATAAAGTGGATGACAGGAACTTTAAACACATTTGTCTGTGTCATGAGTAAACATTAACTATTGCCAAAATGTTTTACTTATTTCTTATAGCCAAATAAAACAATTTCTTTACACAAACAGGCAAAGTTGTTATGTTTATTATAGTAGAAGATCATTATGATTCAGCACAAAAACCCTGCGTTTATTATTCACCCTTTTCATCATACACATAATACCCCCCACCCTTCTTTTTTTAATTCAATGACTCCTGGGTGAGATAGCTTCATATGAATTCCTCTACTCTTTTCTCAAAATAACATTTGAGCCGCATCACGACAAAACCAACATAATACGTTTGCGACCAGCATGGGACCCAGACCAGCCTGCGCATCCGCGCAGTCTGATCAGGATCCATGCTGTTCGCTTGCCAACCCTATTATAAGTAGAGAAACTGATAGCGAACAGCATGGATCCTGATCAGACTGCCCGGATGCGCAGGCTGGTCTGGATCAATGCTAGTCGCAAACGCACTATGTTGGTTTTGTCATGACGCGGCTCATTTTATCTTATCTGATCCCCTGCTTCAATATACATTATACATTCTCTTAACTGGCAATCAAATAAAAATTAATGTTGCTTTTATATTCTTCATGTTAAAATTTTAGGCTTGTATGTTAATTTTTCATTTGTTGTCTTTTGAAAATAGTAGACAATTTTAGCCACTCTCTCAACATATAATTATGTGATTTTTAAATTATTAACTTATATATAAATGGGTTGAAAGTAAAGAAATTCAATGTCACAAATCTGTCAATTCATCTAAAATCTGCAATTAAAAGCTTTAATGTGAATTAATTTCCTAAATGATTGCAATAAAAGTACTGTTTTTATAATTATAATGCACACTTACTTCTCAATGAATAGAATGATGTGGGTGCCATTGGAATCTGAAATAAATAAAAAAAATATGATGATTACAAATTCTTCTCTGTACTTATAAAACCTTTCAGTCAATATCAGTGTTCTAATTTACAATCATTATGTTATAACTTTTCGGTGCATATATAATTCTTAACTTGCTGAGTATATTTATTGCATCCTGCAGAGGAAGGTAGTGTAACTCTCCAGGAAGGATGGTTAGGAAATTACCTGCCTATATCAGGGTTCCCGCTGTCGCTCGCCAATGGCGCCAAATGCGACAAAATATTAATTCTGGCGCATAAAATCTTCAATTGGCGAATTTTACTGGCGCCAACATAAGATAAAAGCATCCGACAACTAGTACACTTAAATATCATAAGCGGCCGCGTCAATTACATAAGCGGCATTAATGTGAAAGGTCACGCGCGATTAGTTTGTTTATCAAACTGTTTAATCAATTATGTCATCAATTGTGTGACATTTCGGGAACATGACAAGATAAAAGTGTCAATGTGTTAATTGGAACAATTACGTCTTTAATCCTCTGACTTGGAGCACTGATAATTACACATGTGGTCAAATGGTGTTAGTAGCGAATCAGAAAAATGAAAGATCGTCCATGATGTTGACAAACATTGAACTTTAGGTAAGTTGGCTCGTCAACTGATTTAAATAATTACAGTTTGAAATATAAAATCGGATGACAATTAAAAGAATAATTTCACTAATGATTGATCTAAAGCCACCGTTTACTGCAGCGTTAATATTTTCATATCTGAATGTAAAGTGCTGAAATGTCTAATCACACGCAAAACCTATTAAAATAAACAATATTCTTCATTGTTAAAAAGTACTTAGTATCTATTTCATTTTTGATCTTATTGATTTTTAGATGAAGTCAATTTACTGTAATGTTTTTTTTTTATTTTGTATCTGTAGATCACCAGAATGTCAGGTAGAAGCTGGAAAGATCATGGCTCAGTCCAGTCAGTGAGAATAAATAAGTGATAAGAACTACTATAGGCTGCTAAAAACAGTGGAAAACAGTACCTCCAAACCTCACTACTAACTTAAAATGATGTTTTTGATTACATTTATAATGTCACATGTATTTATTCAAATGGAATTTGAAAACCACATAATACTATGTCTATATTTTAGATAATAAACATGTGCAGCTGTAATAAAATGACACATTATAAATATGTGTTTTTAATCTTAATGATATATAACTGCTAAAGATAGGCATGTCTCCCTTGCAGAATTACTGGCTCCATATTGGCTCCAACTTTGGAGCCATTGGCTCCAACTTTTTCTGATTGGCGAATTTGGTGGCGCAAATTAATTTTGACCCAGAGGGAACCCTGTATATGACTGAAATACTGTTGGGAAAAGCAGTAAAATGAAACGAACAAACAAACAACATTTAATGCATCCATTTTATCCTGCTTACAATTTGGAAAGCTAGGTTAGACATAGCAATTCAAAAATGTTTTTAGTTATTAAGGTAAATCGCAGTAGATGACATTTTTAGAGTTACAATATTTGAGTTTCTACTATTGTACCTCTAACACTATGGGCACAGGGCTTTTTCCAGATACTTTCGGGAAAAATCCCTTGACTCAAATTGGGAAAAAAATATGCAGCATTTTGATACATTTGAGAAACTCAAAGAATGATGTTGAAAAAACAACCTTATACATGACTTTTTAGTTTAAATATGTATAATCATATATAACCTGTCACAACTTTGAAGAAAAATATCTAAATAGCTCAATCTTAATTTTCAACAGTTCAAAAATTTTGATTTCATTGGAAGCAGTTGGGAATATATCAAATTGAAATTAGGGTAAATATAGAGCTTTTGTTTTATTGAGAATGGGCCTAAAATTTAATATCGGCCCCTTGTAATAGGACAAAAATTCCACGGTGCACGGTCTTGAAAAATATATCATAAACAAGAGGGCCATGATGGCCCTGAGGTCGCTCACCTGTATATAGCCCCCCCCCCCCCCCCCCTCATAAGAAGATATTTCATGCTAAACATCTAAGCTCTAGCTCATTGGGCTTTTTAAAAGAAGATTTTTTTAAGTTTTTACTATACACATATAGTTAAAAACAATGACACCCCTGGGGCGGGACCAGTTTTGACCCCAGGGCTTTTATTTGAACAAACTATGTAGACACTTACTAGAAGATGGTTCATGCTTAAGATCTAAACTCTAGTTATTTTTTTTTTTTCAAGGAAGATTTTTTAAGTTTTTGCTATGCACATATAAGGAAAATCAATGACCCCCGGGGCAGGGCCAATTTTAAACCCAGGGCTTTTATTTGAACAAACTTGGTAGACACCTATTAGAACATGTTTGATGCTAAATATCTTAGCTCTAGCTCTTTGAGTTCTTTAAAAGAAGATTTTTTAAGTTTTTACTAAATGCATATAGGGAAAATCAATGACCCCCTGGGGCGGGGCCAATTTTGACCCCAGGGCTTTTATTTGAACAAACTTGGTAGACACCCATAAGAAGATGTTTCATGCTAAACATCTAAGCTCTAGCTCATTGGGCTTTTTAAAAGAAGATTTTTTTAAGTTTTTACTATACACATCTAGTTAAAAACAATGACACCCCTGGGACGGGGCCAGTTTTGACCCCAGGGCTTTTATTTGAACAAACTTTGTAGACACTTACTAGAAGATGTTTCATGCTTAATATCTAAACTCTAGCTATTTGGGTTTTTTCAAAGAAGATTTTAAGTTTTTGCTATACACATATAAGGAAAATCAATGACCCCCGGGGCGGGCCAATTTTGACCCAAGGGCTTTTATTTGAACAAACTTTGTAGACACTCACTAGAAGATGTTTCATGCTTAATATCTAAACTCTAGCTATTTGGGTTTTTTCAAAGAAGATTTTTTAAGTTTTTGCTATACACATATATGGAAAATCAATGACCCCCAGGGCAGGGCCAATTTTGACCCCAGGGCTTTTATTTGAACAAACTTGGAAGACACCTATTAGAACATGTTTCATGCTAAATATCTTAGCTCTAGCTCCTTGGGTTCTTTAAAAGAAGATTTTTTAAGTTTTTACTAAATGCATATAGGGAAAATCAATGACCCCCTGGGGCGGGGCCAATTTTGACCCAAGGGCTTTTATTTGAACAAACTTGGTAGACACTCACTAGAAGATGTTTCATGCCAAATATCTAAGCTCTAGCTCTTAGAGTTTTTTAAAAGAAGATATTTAAAGTTTTTTTCTTTCGGTTGCCATGGCAACCAGAGTTCTGCATGGAATTAAATTCTTTGAACAATTTTTAAAGGTGACCACCAAAGGAACATTCCTGTGAAGTTTGGATGAAATTGGCCCAGTGGTTTATGAGGAGATGTCATTTGAAGTAAAAGTTTACGGACGCCGGACGGACGACGGACGGACCATGGACGGACGCCGGACGAAAAGCGATCACAAAAGCTCACCCTGTCACTTTGTGACAGGTGAGCTAAAAAGGCTGTGCCAGACAGGAGAGCTAAATATATTTCATCCTAAGATTCATTCATCAATTTGAAATTACTTGATAAATTCTTTTGGGCTAGCTTAAGAGAAAATGTTGCTTAAAATTAGGCCTTGCTGCTGCCATAATCTGCTTGTAAGATGACTGTAATACTATGTTCACCAAAGATTTTCAAAAATTTACTCCTAAACAGAAATAATTAATTAAGTGTCTTACAATTATGTAAAGCAAGCCTTATACAAATATTTTAAAGACTTAATCAGGTTGAAGAAGAACGCATTCCCTTTACATATATCATGTCAAAAGTCAATATTTACAAAAATACAGATCAAAATACTTTCAGAGTTACGGTATTTTGGTCTTACCTTCGCTAAGAAACTAGACATGTAAACAAATGGTAATTTAATGCTGGGGTATTTCCAATATTTCAAGTAAATGCCCACCTAAAATAAGTGAATTCATAGATACAAAAGCAAACAAATCATTATTTGTATGATACTTATTATTATGGCTGTAAAAACCGAAAGTACAAAATGCCAACCTGTTGACATTTAGTCGCATTTGTTTAAAATTGTAAATCAGTGGGCTATATTATTTAAATAACAAAATGTTGCCAGACATATTTTCAATCATATGAATACCGAAACAGACATAACTTTTCTTTTGGATGTCAAATATATACATTCGTTTTACATTATCTCTGTTTCTGTTTACATCTGAAACCAAGTGGTAGAACAGTACTTTCAATCTGAATTGTTTCCAAGGTTATTATTATATAGATTATAATAGCTGAGGCAGTTCCAAATGTACAAAACCTTAACTACCTAGTATAGATACTTGGGTGGTTTTTTGGTAAATTTTAATGTCATTTACTCAGGGACTACCTTGGACTGAAAATTTAGGGAGAAGTGACTTCTCCCTTCAGGAAAAATAGGGAGAAGTTTTAAAATTTAGGGAGAAGTGATCATCAAATCGAGTTATATCATTGGATTTTTTTTTCTAATTTTATTTCACAAAATATACATGTACACCTTTATATGTACTTGCATATAAAATATACATGTATATGGCATGGAAAATAAACAAATGTGTATTTGAAAATCGCTATGATGATATTTAATGAAGTACTAATTGCATTTGATTTACATCAAACACAACATTTTTTTTTCTTAGGTTCAACAGTTTCTGACTCTAACTTTTAAATGCAATTTATTAAGAAGAAAATTTCTTTAATTCATAATAATTATCCAAGTTCTATCAATTTACATCAGTTTTAATGATGAATATTACTATCATAAATGTAATGGTGATAAGAAACGTATATGGGATATTGTAAATCAAACAGGACATATTTGGGAATTAGTAAATCAAACAGGACATATAAGGGAACTAGTAAATCAAACAGACCGTTTAGGGATTATTGTGAAACAAACAAAACGTACAGGGGATATTGTAAATAAGACACAAAAATATGTTTGAGGTAACTTAATTATCAATTAGCTTGCTTTTTATCATCTGCTGCATTCATACCAGGGTCTTTCACAGCTTTAATTTACCGTATAATCAATGCGCTATTTTTAGCGATGTGGATTTCCAAGTGTGAATTCCAAATATTGCTATGGCCACGCTTCAGCGCGTGTGCTAATTACGTCAGACTACACAATTAAATCTGCCTCCAGGCAGTATTATCGAGTGTAGAAATATACATGTCAGACATTTTTAGGGCGACTCGAATTTCGCTTTTCAGATCATATAGGGCGAAGTGAAAATATTTACGGCGAAGTTTTCGCCTGACTTCGCCCTGAACGCAGTCCCTGATTTACTATATGAATGTGCATGCTAAGCCTGTCTGCATGGCGACAATGCTTAGACTAATCATGTCCAATTTCAGAAAATTATGAGTAAAATCTTTACTAATTTATAACCTAAGGCCATATAGTCAGCCATGACCTTAATAACTATCACCCTGCAAAGACTTGCAAAACTTAAGAAATGTATGATTTTCAATAACAGCCTGACAGCCTGAATCAATACATGAATTCAAAGCAATGTTCTTATATAATTCTTGCATTTATATGGGCAAGATTTTATAACAAAATAAAATGCTTGAGAAAGATTGTTTGTTTGTTTGTTTGTTTCATTTTACGCCTTTTCCCAACAGTATTTCAGTCATATAGGCGGGTCAGTTTCCTAACCATCGTTCCTGGAGAGTTACACCAGTACTAGACTACCTTCCTCCGCGCTAAACTACCAAAGCATCTCCAGGGGATCAAACCCACTTGAGAAAGAAACTGTAAATGCCATCATGCATAGGCTTTAATCACCAAATAGGTAAAACACTACATTTTATGTTACATGGGACTTACTTTTATTCTTTTATTTCTAACGGCATCTGTAGAACTTCCAACAGTTGCAGTTGAACGTTTCCGTGTTTCTGACTGGAAATTATTCAAAGTACTTGGTTTTGGAACTGCACTCTCAACTTCTTCTGTCAGGTCTATATAATTCCATGGTTTTTTTTTTGACTCCTTGGCTTCCTTTTTTGTACCACTAAGCATTGCCATGTGAGTAAGACTACCTAAAAGCATGTTATTTCAACCATTGTCTTGTTAGAACTGTGACCAACAGAAAGCACTGAATTTAATTAAGTCATTATATTAATTGTAATATGACATTAATTTATATGATCAAAAAT